AAAACATATGGCCTCTGTATTAGTTTCTTAGGGCTGCCAAAGGAAATTACTATAGACTGGCTGGCTGGCTCTAAACAATAGAAATTAACATTCTCACAGGTGAGGAGGCCAGAAGTTCAAAATCAAGATGTTGGCAGGGTTGGTTCTTCCGGAGGCTCTGAGGGAAAGCCTGTCCTATGCCTCTCTCCTAGTTCCAGCAATTCTTGGCTTGTAGCCAAACCACTCCAATCTCTGCCTCCATCTTCCCATCAGCTACTTCTCCAACTCTCTTTGTGTCTCTCTTTGCTACCAGGTCACCAGACAGTGGATTTAGACCCAACCTAAGCCAGTAGTATCACTTGCTCTTTACCTTGATTACATTTGTAAAAACTCTATTTCCAAATAAAGTCACATTTTGAGATTCCAGTAGACATTTTTTTTTTGGGGGGGGGGGCGCGGATACTATTCAACTGAGTACAGCTTCCTCTATTGTATTTACCCAACAAGCTCCCTTGTAATTACATGGAACTCCCATGTTCATAAACACTTCCTTTGAATAGATGGATGTACAATATTCCCTTTCCCCATTGGTGGACATTTAGGTAGTAGAGGGTGACAGCTAGCACATAGGGCCTTGATGCAAATCACACACAGGTGTTCCCTTCCCTGGGCTGAGTGAGGTGCCCAGGTAGGTGAGCAGAGCAGCGGCCGGATTTCAGCTTCCACTTAACTGCTCTGTCAGTCACCTTTCTGCATGTGGGACACGATGGCCCAGGCCTGGGAAAATGGAACCTAGGATGGTTTGTTACTATTTTAGAATATTTAAGAAGCTCAATTTTTGCATTCGGCTTTTTTTTTTCTGTTTCAAATTAGGAAGCACACAATGTCCACATTGAAAGAGGCCCTAGAAATCTTTTCCTTCAAATGCCTCCATAACATTGTATAAGAAAATAATGATAATATCCTATAATAATTTGGTGTTTATTGTTTCACATAGCATAGTTGAAATCTATTATTTTTCAGTCTTGGGAAAAGAGACTCAGAAATTTTAACTAGCTTTGCTACTAAATAGGGTAAAATATCAACTCTCTTGTCTTTCCTCAGTACCTTGCTTGGGTCAGCCTGACTCGAGTCGAGCCCTGCTTCCTCTTGTACATCCCAGCTGTGACATAATCATTATTTTAAAGTGTTTATGAACAGGGACATAGTCCTCCTTTTATGTCTGTAGTCTGATTTCTTTTGAAACTACCTACACCTTTCTTCTTCTCTTTTGAACTTTGCTTTGATGAATATATTTCTGACCAGATAAAAGAAGTTGCGAGTACAGCCTTCTTAACTTGAAATGACCACCTTTGTTCATATCTTTATACATATTCATAATTTATACTATTACCACAGTACTTTGGTTGCTGTGACAAGCCTGATATTTTAATAGCACATATTTCAAAGGACAGTGAAGAAAATATATAGCATCTTCTTTTTCTTATATTTAAATAACTTTTTTGAATGCTTTTTAAATTTTCTTTTTATAGAGAAAAGGTTCAGTTAATTTTATAAGGGCTAACATAAATGAAAATAACTCAATGAAATAAATAAGAATTCAAGTTTGTAGTCTAATTAGTAGACCAAAATTCTTAGCATTTACCTTCTCCACAGATATTTTTGTGATTTCTTGATGGTATAGAACTCAGCTCATTCCTCTCTGTGTTCCTTGGGGTTTAATGCAATGCTAGACACACACGTGGCTACTAATAAGTTCATGTTGATGGAATGAATGGCACAACCACCTCTGCTCTTTTCCTCATGTGTTCTGCTCTGGCCACTGTGACTATCCATTATCTGGACACATTGCACCTCGTCCCACCTGCATGCCTTTGCAATGAATGATTTTTTCCAGTGACCCCCCTACCCCCCTTCCAGGTTCCTACTCATCTTTTAAGATCCAGCTCAAATGTCAGATCCTCCATGAAGCATTTATTAAGGTCACGATGATGCCTCATTCATCTCTATGTCCCCAGCATCTGGCACAGAGTCACAGTTATGAAATGGGCATTGAAACGAGAAAGTGAATGAACAGAGGGACGGAGTCAGTATCCCATAGCAGATAAGAACGTGGGCTTTATGGTCTGACAAACCTGGATGCATATCCTGCTTCTTGACTTGCACCTGGTGACCTTGGTCAGGTTATGTCATCCCTCTGAGACTTCATTGGTTGTCAAATGAGGATAATGATGGCATCTGACTCCACGGGTTCTTCGTAAGGACAAGCTGAGATCCTGTTGGGAAAATCCTTCATCTCATGCATGTTAAATGATAGCGTTGATAGACTTGTTCTACAGTTTTCCTCGATTGCATTGGAGAGGCTGTGGTCTGGCCAGCCTCGGTGTGATTGTATTAGATGGAAATATTTTGGTTGGGGAGTCATGGACTTGTCATGGCCACCACCCCATTTTCTTTCTTTCTTTTTTTTTTTTAATATATTTTATTGATTTTTTACAGAGAAGAAGGGAGAGAGATAGAGAGTTAGAAACATCGATGAGAGAGAAACATCGATCAGCTGCCTCCTGCACATCTCCTACTGGGGATGTGCCCGCAACCCAGGTACATGCCCTTGACCGGAACCGAACCTGGGACCCTTCAGTCCACAGTCCGACGCTCTATCCACTGAGCCAAACCGGTTTCGGCCACCACCCCATTTTCAAATGGAATAAAACAGAAAAGCAGACTCCAGCTAACTGGAAAACACTACTAGAGTAGAATTTTCTTGGCACTTAAATTTTAGGAGAAAGAGACAAACCACAAAATAGAAACGAATGTAAGGGTTTTTTAAAATATAGAAACCTTGCAAGTAAGTTCTAGGGGATGACCTTTGAACTGTGTCCAGCCTAAACCTCTGTCGTTTTGCACTGTGGCAAATATATACCATAGGCATTGAATTAATCCTACTGGCTGGTGAATGAGGCCTTACACTGTTTTTTAAAAAAATTGAAATGGGTGTCAAGATAAAAAAGAAACTATTATAAAAAGTTTCAAATATATACCAATTTAGAGTGATTAGTCTAATAAATTTCCACATAACTATTAACCAGCTCAATAGTTAGCAATATTCAATCAGCTCAATAATTAGCAATATTCTGCCATTCTATTTCATTCTTCTCCTTTTTACTTGTGTGTTTTGCTAGAGTATTTAAAAGCAAATGCTAGACATATTTTTTCACTTATCAATATTTTAGTATCAGATAAACGCTTTAAAAGTATAATTATAATCTGTTATTACAGCCAACACAATTAAAATTAATTTCATAATAGGATCTAAAACCCAGCTCATGTTTAATTTTCCTGATTGCATCAATAAGTCTTTTTAAAAATATTCATTGGGTGACATTGGTCAACATAAACATATAGGTTTTGGATATGGGTTTCTATGTTACAAGATCTGTTTATTGTACCGTGTGCCCACCACCAAAGCCAGATCTTCTCCTGTCACCTTCTATTAGGTCCTAATAAGTTTTATAGTTATTTTGTTTGAATCAGTATCCCAGCACAGTTCACAAATGCTATTTGTTGGGTACGTGTCCTAAGTCTGTCAATTTGTAACCATTCCCCTCCTTTGTTTCCATGCATTGCTTTCTGTAAGAATTTTAAGTAGATAAATATTTCACAAAAACAAGGTTTGTGGTTTCTCTGGAAAGATCTGGCAGCCCTGGCTCACACGCCCAGCTGGTGCATTTGGCTGCAGCACAGTGAGACTGTAGCCCTTCCCGTGTGCGAGTGCCTGAAGACCCCCATGGTCCTCACTAGTCCCTGTTGCACCAACCAGCTCTCCTCATTGAGATTGCCTACCCAGCCCCCATGGGCGTTATACTGGCCACCTCTGACCTGCATATACGTCTATTGGGCAGTGAGGACTGAATCCTACGTGATGACGTTCAAGTCCCAAAACATCCTCAGTCATTATGTCAATGTCCAGTTTGGTGCCCAGTATCATGTAGGTAGGAACGGAAGCTGAAATGTTTCAAAAGTTTCCAGTGAAGGATTAAATCAACAAAACCTTTTTTAAAAATCCGAAAATAGCTTAAAACTTTATGAATTGGCATGTCTCTTTTCTTGATCATTCCAGTTCATCTGCTCTACAGCCTTTCATTCTGTAAGTATCTTTTTCACTGTGTGGAGGTTTGATCTACAAAGGCCACTGGACAAGGTGTCACAAGACCCAAACTTGAGCCTTGGTCCTATGGCAATTGGGCCACCGTTTTGCTTCTCTGAGACACCTTGCAGAGTGGAGGTATTAACAGCATTTCTCTCAGGGTTGTTGTGAAGGTCAAATAAAGTAACAGATGTGATGTTAATTTGTCAACTGTATAGCTCTACACGGAAGCTATTACCGTGCAGGAGGCTATATTGAATTATGCATACCATCCTCTTTTATGCCTCCATGCTGGTACTCTGCTGTTCTCTCTCCTTGGAATGTCCTTAAGAATGAATTGCTCATCATCTGTGGTCCCCCAAAACTTTATAACCTTCATCACACTATAGTAAGGGCTTTTGTTCACATCTTTGTCTTCTGGAAGATTCTGAAAGCAAACTGCAGTTTATTCAGGGCTTGGCACACAGCAGACTCTCAGTAAGTGTCTGTTGAATTCGTTTGGACTGATTTGAACAATTATTATATGTGTGCCTTCTTGAAGGACAAAGTCTATGTCATACAGTTCTTTAGGTATATCATCTGATAACTGACCAACCTTGGCTCTTGTTAAAAGCTGCTGCTGCTGATGATGATGAAGAAGAAATATTCATAAAAATAGTTTTGTATTTTACATTTAAGTCAATGATCAGACTTCTTAAGTATATTATTAGTAATGTAAGCTCATTGACAATGAAAGCACCTACATGTGAATGCCTATGATTAAGTTTTTTTTTTTTTTTTCTGTTGGGGAGAACTTAACAGAAATCCTGGTCATCCTTTTTGGCCCCAGTTATCTGATTTTCTTCATTAATTTAGGCTTCTTGCTCTGTTACAGCTGGTTTGCCATCCACCCTGTCAGCATGAACAACAGCAACCATCTTGTAAATAGTGACAATATGGGCTATGCGTCTTACCTGTTTGAGCGAGAGAAGAACAAAGGACATTTACCTGGACAGGTAAGAATTTGTGTTATTGAAAACTTCACTTTAATTCATTGAGTATCATCACTCATGCAATATTCAAAATGGCTGATTCAAGTTTTCAGAGTAAAGTGCCAGTATGGGCATCACATACTGATATACTTATATTAAAAAAAAATTTCATCTTACCTAGTAGGAAAAGAAAAATTCAAAATGACCAATAAACTGTGTCCAACACTACCTTTATTGATGGCATCATAAAGTTATAATTAGTTGGATAAAGGAGGGCAAGTTCAAGGTTTTTGTAATATATAATCATTTTTATCAACTTGGAAACATGGTGAATTGTATTGACGTTTACTTTTGTTTTCAGAGTTCTAAAAGTACTAAGCATCTCTGTAATGGTATAATAATCTGAATGAGGACAGGTGCCGAGTCCTTTTCACTGGCCCAGACATCCCTCTTCATGTGAATTTCCTTTCCAGGACATTGTTCTACTTTCCAGTCATAAGGCCTAGGTCAGAGACAGTCCTAATCCATCAGACTTGTTTGTAACTTTGAAACTCAGTGAGTGACTGGATCGGAGATGGGGGCCAGGAACCCAGTCCATGCACTCCAGATGCTGCTCAGATCTGTATACAATAAAGATTACAGCTAGCTAGGGGGGAGGAGGGACCCTGTCTGCTTGCCACCAGCACCTAAGGCCTAGAATGAATGATATATGATGGGATGAGAGTCCCGGGCCCTTGACTAGAATAATGCTCTGTTATGAAGATACTGATACAAAATTCACCAACCCCCAAAACTCATAAACACAGATAATAGTGTGGTGATTACCAGAGGGTAAGGGAGTGGAGACAGGTAGAAGGGGGTCAAGGGAACACAAATGGTGACAGAACCATTTTGTGTGGTGAACACACAATACAATATACAGATGATGTATTACAGAATTATACACTTGAAACCTATATCATTTTATTAACCAATATCACCTCAATAAAGGCAATAAAAAAGCCACTTGGAATAGTTCCAGCCAACCAAAAAAAAAAAGAAAAAGAAAAAAGGACAGAATGGGAGGACAGTGGCTTGAGGTGACTGCCTTGTACCACTCTAAAAGGTTACTTCGGGTTGAAGAGATAGAGAAACGATGCGTAGAAGCATCAGCCTGGATGGTGGACACTGTATTTAGGTTCAGTTTCACAACAGGAAAGTCCGGATTGGCTCCTCTCTTTTTAAGCCAATAGGATAGGTATTCTTAAAGGGCAACTGCATCTTGGATCTCTAGGTTCAACACCAGCGGCGAAATTGACATGTCAGCCTTTTGTAACTTGTGCGCTGTGTTCCTTGTCAGCGTGCTTCTGCTTGAGGCACGAATTTGAAAGTGTCCTGCTTGAAGCTGCTCTATTGAGAATCGGAAAGTCACAAGTGACAACAGGAACACTGACTGTACTGGGAGCCTTTTCCGGAGTAAAGCATTTCCTTAGATTATTGTATGTACACCCTCCTTTTTATTGTGGGCAAATGGTTTTGGGTAGTTCACCGAAGCAGATGGAATGTTTGCGTTTTGAATGGGAGGCGTGGGGAAGACAGAATAAAAGGCAACTGCTGTTTCTCTTGGCAGGGGCCGTTTGTAGCAGCCTTTGCTTCATCGAACCTAGGAGATGTGTCCCCCAATATTCTCGGCCCACGTTGTGCCAACACCGGAGAGTCCTGTGATAACGCCAACAGCACTTGTCCCATTGGCGGGGTAGGTACCTATGCCAGGAAATCTTCGCTTTGGCATGTCATGTATCTTTTATGTTTGAAGATTCATCGTTCATTGACAGGTAGGTTTTCCTCAAGTATACACCGGCCTACTTACCTCTATCAACTGCTCTGCCCAAAAGCACCCACGAAATGTCAATGAGATAAAATTATAATTTTCTATGTGATTGTGAAGTTTTTTGAATGGTGAGGCAATTTAGGAAATGTCAGAGATTAGATATCCTTCCCCAAGCGTGGGCCGCCTGAAACATGATGCCTGGGCATTTCTGTGGAAACAGTACCCCAAACTGTCTGCCCGAGACATTGCTCACTCATTAGTAAAGCTATGGATTAAGAAAAACAACCACACACACAAAAACAATATAAGATAATTTTTTTCTTTTAAAATGGCAAAAATCTTGCTGTCAGAACTCCAACAATAAGAAAGCATAGAGAACAGTCAAAAGTGAAAGACCCTATCACCTCCGTCCTGCCCCACCCCTTCTAGCAGTTACCTATGGAATGACTTCCTATGTATTTGTCTGCGTAACCACAAACAACATTTATAACTTACTTACTGATTTTTTTTTATTGGTGCAGGATTTCAGTTTTCCACTCAACTTTGTCTTAAAAATATTTTTATGATTATATGTGGATCGGTGTGGTAAGTTTCAAAGACAAATGAGGCCGTACCATCATTTATTTATCCTCCCCAGCCCCCGCCCCCCCAAGCTCATTTAGATTATTCAGCTTAGACATGAGCAGCAGATGCTAATTTCTGTGTCTTATTCTTTGTGTTTAAAGAACATTTCACCTGTAATATTGCTTTTATTTAACACTGTTTCTGGACTATTTACTTTATTCCAATCAACCCCACCCAATGAGCAATACAGTTTCAACAATTACACTTTTCTATTATATATTGCTATTTTTATGTAGAAAGTATTCTGTGTTACCCTTTATTTGCAACATTTCTACACATTATTAATTCACAGTAGATTTGATAACTACTTACTAAATTACAAAATTCATAGATGAGATGGTTAAAACATTATTATACTTATTTGCAGCAGAACATTATGCATCAACTTAATGTCTTCTGTTGAAATACTTAAAGTGGGAAAAACTCATAATACATGATGTTGACTAAAAAAAAATCAGGACTTAATAATGTATATTCATTGTGATTGCAGTTTTGAAAATCAGTGTATCATTGTAAAAAGATAAAGTGAAACACACTGAATTGTTGACTATGATGTTCTCTTTTTGATACTATTATAAATAGGTTTCATTTTAGTTATTTTGTATTTATTATTTTTATTTATACATTTTGTTATTTTTTACGCTGAGCATAGTTTATAATCTGAAAATATTACAACAAAGTCATGCCCCCAATAGAATTCTGTTTTCCTCTGCTCCCCTCCATGCGTTGGGTTGAGTCAGCTTCCCTCAGGTTTGCAGGGCTGCAGGTGGCAGTAAGGAAGGGGTATGCTCCCCTCCCCCCACCCCCATATAAAGTAGGAGAGAGAGAACTTCTCCAACATAGAATAAAAGGTCTCTCTTATCTGATTGGGTCAATTTCTGTCACATGTCCATCCCTGGAACAAAACAGTTGCTGGGGGAATGGTATGTGCTGAGTGGCTTAGGTTGGGTTCCTGGCCAATCTTAGCAAGGCCTAGCCCTGGAGCCTTAGACTTACCAGGAACAAGGAATGGGAACATTGGCCACAACGGGGAGGGCGGGGCGGGGATGGCTTTCTGAGCAAAGTCAGGATTCACAGAAGAAAGAGGAAGGGGGAAGGAAAGAAGGCAGACGCTGCCATGTCTTCTGCTTTAGTGTGGGTCCTTTAAAAACACAACAGCTTCAGTTTAGAAAAAGGTTTTAATATTTTTTAGGGAAAGATATATGCTTGTTACACATTCAAATAATATGGAAAAATTCAGAAAATAAAACTATGAAAAGGAGCACCCTCATCCCATAAGTTAACCTGTTAAAATGTTAATGAACTTCTAGATAGTTTGTACATCCATGCATACATATATACATGTAAAATTTTACATAAGTGGGATCACACGGCAATACTAGTCTATAACCAGCTTCCTTATTTCCAATAAATGTGCTTTAAAACATCATTTAACATCCCTCCGTGCCTGGCAAGTGTGGCTCAGTGGTTGAGCATTGTGCCATGCACCAGGAGGTCATGGTTTGATGCCTGGTCAGGGCGCATGCCTGGGTTGTGGGCCCAATCCCCAGGAGGGGGTGTGCAGGAGGCAGTCAATCAATGATTCTCTCTCATCATTAAAATTTCTATCTCTCTCTCCCTCTCCCTTCCTCTCTCTGAAATGAATGTAAACATATTTAAAAAAATAAATAAAACCCCTCGTAATTTTCAATATTGAGTATCATAGTTAACCAGTCCCCTGCTGATGAGTATTTTCTTTCCCTGACTTCTTCCTTCCTTCACACCCTCTCTCCCATCTTTTCTTCCCTTCTTGATATAAGCATGCTGTGGTCACTCTGCTTGTCATACATATTTTGTCAAACGAGTAAGAGTTTCGCCATAAGCCAAATTCTTGAAAGTGAGTTTGCTGTCAAAGAGAAAGGACCCCTAACGAATGCTGCACATAGCCCAAACACTCTCTCATCACATTTCCACCCCAGTGCATGAGGGACGGTCTCCCACCAGCACCAGGACTGTCAGCCGTTCCGTTTTCACCAACACAATATGCAAGTTCTCTTTGCAGCTTCAACTTATATTTAATTATTCATGAGCTTGAACATATTTCATATTGAATGGCTATTTACATTTCTTTTTGTGCATTGCCTATTTCATCTGCATTCCATCATGTATTCATTATGGTGATTATTTTCCCCCCAGCTTTATTGAGATATAATTGACATATAACCTTGTGTAATTTAAGGTATATAAGGTGGTGATTTTGATATGCAGATAAGATGCTTTTTACTGCCCTGGCCAGTTTGGCTCAGTGGATAGAGCGTCGGCCTGCAGACTCAAGGGTCCCAGGTTCAATTCCAGTCAAGGGCATGTACCTTGGTTGCGGACACATCCCCAGTGGGGAGTATGCAGGAGGCAGCTGATCAATGTTTCTCTCTCATTGATGTTTCTAACTCTCTATCCCTCTCCCTTCCTCTCTGTAAAAAATCAATAAAATATATTTAAAAAAGATGCTTTTTACTGCAAATAAGAGATGATCTAACTCAATATGGATGAACCAAAAGGTATTAATAAAGATATTTTTCTTACTGACTTTTCCAAGTTCCTAATATTTTAAAGTCTTAGTTTGTCATAAACAATACAAACCCCCCCCCTTGATTTGTCAGTTGTCTTTCAGCTTTACTTATGTTTTCATTTTCCACATATGAATATTTAAAATGTTTAAGTTGTCAGATGTATTTAGCCTGTTCTATATAATTTTAGAAGGGACTTCTATACCCTTAAGACTTTAAAATATATGCACTCTTGTTTTCAATACTTTTTATTTCATTTGTAATATTGAAACATCTGATTAATCTCAAATTATTCTGATGTAAGAAATAAGGTATGGAGTCATATTTATTTACTGATTTTTTTCCCCCTGAAGGTCAGCTAGCTTTTCCAATATAATTTTAACTGAGTTTCAGTTTAAGGTGATCATGACCAAGAGCCCCAGGCAAGAACAAGCAAGTAGAGATGTGTGCAGCCAATGGAGAGATGTGGAGTTAGGTCTTAGCTATCTGAATAATCTTTGGCAAATCCTCTAACACATGGAACCTCATTTTCCTTATTTTTAAGCTAAGTGCTGGAATAGATGATTTCTAAAGGTGTTCGCAGCTCCAGTTCAATTAATGCTTTTGTTTTTCGTAACCTATAAGTTGAGAGAATATCTGAAAAGAAAAGCTATAATGTGTCTTAAAATTATAGTTGCTTAGATTCACTTGTAATTGTCCATTTCTTAAAATAATTTCTTTTTAAAAAATACATTTTTATTGATTTCAGAGAGGAAGGGAGCGGGGGCGAGAGATAGAAACATCAATGATGACAGAAAAATCATTGATCAGCTGCCTCCTACATAGCCCCTACTGGGGATCAAGGCCGCTACCCCGGCATATACCCTGACTTGGAATTGAACCGTGACCTCCTGGCTCATAGGTTGATGCTCAACCACTGAGCCATACCAGCCAGGCATAAAATACTTGCTTTATTCACCAAGAACCCATCTGTCTCATTTTGTTCAAGGCTACCATGTGCATGGCTAGGGGACCTGGACAGGATATGCTCGACAGCACACAAATTATAGGACGGATCCTCTACCAGAGAGCTTCGGTAAGCCGTGCACCCACTCTTTGATCTTCATTTAAAACTAGAGGCCTGATGCATGAAATTTGTGCAAGGGGCTCGGCCCTTGCAGCCCCGGCTTCGTCCAGAAGGTCGTCCAGACGGGTCGTCTGAAAGGTCATGGGGACTGTTGTTCTGCTTTTGGGTCTAATTAGCATATTAGCTTTTTATGATATAGGATTATATAGGATTGTTCTTGAAGATCTGCTGACGTGTTCTTTAGGAAGTCCCTAACTGTGAGGAAGACAAGAGCTCAAGCAGCACCGAGGGGTCTGGAAAGCTGGTTGCTGCTCCAGGGCAGTTGGGAAGGTTTCTTGCACAAGCCACACAGGAATCTCTCTCTGACTGCCTGGTCCAACCACTTACAGGAAGCACATTTTACTTCTGCCAGAGGGCTTGCTTCGGGCAGTGGGATGGTAGCTAGATTGTAAGGTTTGCAATTAGCATGGCATATATGACCAGACTGTTTCAGAGGCTTGAAAATCTCTCAGGGATTTGCCTGCCAAATCACTTAGCCATTTCTTTTTAAAAAATCTTTATTGTTGAAAGTATTACAGATGTCCTCCTTTTCCTCCCATTGTCTCCCTCCACCTCGTTCCCTGGTTCCCGCCCCGCCCCACCCCAGGCCTTCAGCAACCTATTGTCTGTGTCCATAGATGATGCACATATTCACATAAAATCTTTGGTTAGTCTCTTCTTACCCCCTCCTTCCCTCTGAGATTCATCAGTGTGTTCCATGTTTCCATGTTTCCGATGCTATTTTATTCTTCAGTTTATTTTGTTTGTCAGATTTCTTCTTTGTTTATTTTGATTTTTAGATTCAATTGTTGATAGGTATATATTTACTTTATTGTTAATATTTTAATCTTTTCTCTTCTTCTTCTTCTTCTTCTTCTTCTTCTTTCTTCTTTCTCCTTTCTCCTTTCTTCTTTCTTCTTTCTTCTTTCTTCTTCTTTCTTCTTTCTTCTTCTTCAAGGATACCCTTCAACATTTCACATAATACTGGTTTAATGGTGATGCATTTCTTAACTTTTCCTTCGGTGACAATGCAAAGCTGAGCCCCACAACTCACTGCTCTCACAATTTGGATTCAAATGAGTTCTAGTCCTCTTTGATATGGCAAAGATCATCCATGTTATCTTAACTTTTTTTTTTTTTTGAGAGGGAACCTGGTTTACAGCAAGATTACTATGATTTACTCTACTCTCTTTCCTCTTCTAAATTTGATCTTTCATTTAGTCCCATATTATGTGTCAGCTTCAATGGAGAGATTTCTGACCTACAAGATGAGCTGGAGAGTTGAGATATCTCTGATAACGAGAGTTAAGTCTCTTCCTTTTCATAGCTTAATTATACCTTTCTTGTACACACACGCGTGTGCGTGTGAGTATAAGTAAATATTTTGTTCCAATGATTCTAAAATGTTTCAGCAGCAATTAAGGAAGATCAAAAGCACCTTTAAAAACACCAGACACTAGCCAGCCCTAATTGCTGCAGTTTCTTTTTAATTACTGTGGTATTATCAGTGGATTGCTCTAAATTAACAGATTCTATTTAGGGAGTGCATCTGTGACACAATTAGGTGTCAGAAATTTTGTTATCTTTCTGGGCCTGGGAGCCAGAGGGATTTGTCCCACATTCTGCATTCTGCATTCTCTTCTCAGCAAGGCACAACTGGCCTCCTCACCAGGGAGGCAGCTGCATCTGGGGTCACTCAGCTCAGAGCTCCCAGGGGGCAGTTGAAACTGGGATGGTGTGGAAATGAGTTAGGCCTCCGGCAAAGGGACTTCTACCGAAGCAGGATTTGCCTCTGTTGTATACAGATCAGTAAAAACATTTCTAATCATGGATTGACTCACTTTTCCCATAAGACTGAAAAAGCATCAGTTGACCACATTGGGGGAAAAAAAGATCATCAAAGAGCAGCAGGATGTTAGGGGAGTTTATGCAGATGAAGTGGGGCCTGAAGTTTTCAAGCCGCCCTTTGGCATCTCCTCAAGCCAGCCCTGCCAGAGGCCTCAAGGACTGAGGATGCCCGAGGATACACTCTTGTTCTGGCGAAGAAAGTCACGCAGCCCTCCTACTTCTAATCTCACATTTTCTTGACCAGCCCTCCTACTTCTAATCTCACATTTTCTTGACCGTCTTTCCAGTGAGATTGGGGCCTTTTGTGCCCCATCCTGGATCACTACGGGTTCATCTTTGTGGGGGAAAGCACAGGTCAGCCATCCAGGGCCTTCCATCTTCAGGGAAGCAACAAGTTGGCAGAGAGATCACCTGTGTAGTGGCTACTGCTATGGGCCCAGCAGAATAAAACTTGTCTGAGATCCTTCTCCCAATTGGTACTTACTGGATGCAGTGGTAATGCTCATTTTAGCTCTTAACAGCGAGCTTCTGTGGGTTTTCTAGGCGCTGTATGCCTTGGCTTCCCAGGAGTTAACTGGACCCCTGACTTCGGCTCATCAGTGGGTGAATATGACAGATGTCACTGTCCCACTCAATTCCACACACACGGTGAGTGTTGCTGAGTCACACTGACCATGCCACAAGGGGAAAGCTTGGGGCTGATCTCATCATGAGTGGAAGCTTAACTTCTGTTTCTTTCCCCCTCTTTTTGTTCTAAACATCTTTCCTTTAGGCAAAGACATGTAAGCCAGCGCTGGGCTACAGTTTCGCAGCTGGCACAATCGATGGACCTGGGACCTTCAACTTCACGCAGGGTGAGGTGCAGACGAATGGAACCTGTGGCCCCAGCTTCTGGAGCTTTGGGGTTGTGCCCCTGAGGAGGGTTTACGTGTAGCCACTACAGTGACTGTGTTTCTTTCTAAACCCAGGGGTGTGCGGGGACTCCAGGTTTGTGCATGACAACCAGATTTCCCAGGGACGGGTGTCTGCTGTCACTCAGCTTTCCATGCATTCAAGTAGAATCAGAGACAAATCCTCTTTGTGTTTTAGTCTGTGGGTGAATAATTTTAAAGTCTGCTTGGGCTGGCGGGGGGCGGGGGGGCATTGGGGGGTGCAGGAGGCAGTTGTCATTGTACCTTCAACAACATGAGTCGGCTCTTCCGGTTGGTTATTAGTGTCTCTTTTCCTTGTCCCGTTACGGAAGACAAAATTCCTCAGGGTAGAGGCCTTTAGGAGCCTAACGCGTGTGGCCCCAGGTCCCCTTCCTGTGTGTATTTCCAGGATCTTCCTTAATTTATAACTGATTGTTTTAGGTTTTATAACTTTATCCTGATTTCACTGTAATAATAGGCTTTGGTTTATGTACTTTGGTGCTCCTTTATTAGACCCACATACGTTTATAATTGTTATATTTCCCTAATGGATTACAGATTCTAAGTCGATAGGTTTTGTAGTTAACACAACCTTCCCCCAGATTATGGATCTTAGGCGAGGTTTTTGTTTTTTCCTGATTGTGGGTATTTGTGTAGATAAGTAAGTGGGGATTCAAGAGAGGCTTTTTCAGGGACCCCAAGCCAAACAACTAACACTTCAAATTGGAGGTGTCATTTTTAGTTTTCAAAATGGAAATTCTACAGTGAATTGTGCCATACTGTTTTTACTTCAAATGTGGAAGAGAAGGAGCAATAGAAACAAAACTTCAAGGATGTTGAGCAAAATATATTCTTTTAGTCTATCAACCACACTGAAGATCTAATTAAATAATGGCTCCTATTTTAGGATGCACAGGAAATTTTGCTTCTTCCATTATTCAGACTGTCTTGGAATCATTAAATAACAATCTTAGTGAAATCGCTGAGACTCCTGAAAGCATTGTTGTACAACAGCTGTCACAATGATGACATTTTCTCCAGAGAATTAGAGTCATATCAATTAAAACATTCCTAACAGGGACAACAGTATCAGATCCATTTTGGGACACTCTTCGGGATCAGCTCTTTGGCAGGCCCTCTGATGAAATCAAAGAGTGTCAGAAACCAAAGCCCGTCCTTATTCACACTGGAGAGGTAAAGCATTTTTTGTTATCATGGTGAAATTAGTGTATTGCTTTTGAAAATTTATGAATTGTCGGATGTGAATGGTATACCTGTATTGGCATGGGAGGTCTTACTCAGATATTCCCACAACAAAATATTTAATGTCAAAAGTATGGAAGCCATGAGTCTAAAAAATAAGGGGTATGATTATTAAATATTGTAATTTTGAATTTATGATAAATAACTGGAACAATAAGAACCCAGAGAAAGGAAGAATAAAAATAACAGTTGTCTTACTTAAGATTCATTCTGTTACCCTAAGGATAGGAGTTCACATAGAATTCTCTGTAGAGGAGAACATCTCAGTCCCTATAAAAAGGAACATGTCCATGTCTCCGTTTTCTCACAAGCCAGGCAATGTTATTAACTAAAGCAACATTCTTTTCCTATTCCTTTGGAACATGGATTTTCACATTCTAAATGTCAAAGTGCGATGCCAGTGTTTATAATATGAACTGTTGATGTTGAAAACAATTTAATAGAGTTTTTCCCCCTAATATTCATTTAAAATTCTTCAGGCAGAAGAAAGAGAGGAAAGGGAAGAAATAGAGGGAAAGATTCTACACTAATGTGAGTACGGAAAAGGATAGATTTTCTTGAGAAAAGGTGGAAAGTAACTGAAAATTTGAAGTGCTTTTAGAGTAAGAAGTTATTAAGTGAAACTAATCCAAGTGATTGAGTTACTTATTTTTTGTGTACGAGGAGAGTCACCACTGTGCTCCAGTAGGTCCTTGGTCGTCGGTTACACATTGTGATTCCACACTGACAGGTCCACCAGACATCATTGATGAGAAAATACGTCCAGGTTAATGGGGCATTGGCATTTCAGATTAACATGTTATGACTAGATAAAACACTTAATGTTATATCATGAATTAGACATAAAATCTATGGTGGCAGGAGACACCAAAAGCAGCTGGAAACATTTTGCATCCTTCAATAAACTTCTGTGATCATCACAGGTCTCTTGATCATAGAAAGAAAAATATTCCTAACACAGTGTTCGTATTTTGGGTTCTTAGCTGTCCAAACCTCATCCCTGGCACCCGGATATTGTTGACGTTCAGATCATTGCTCTTGGGTCCTTGGCCATAACTGCTATCCCTGGGGAGCTTACGTAAGTCCTTCTTTTTCATTTTGTAGTTTAAAAAATGTAATTATTGTGGCCTGGCCAGGTGGTCCCCTACTCCAAAATGTTTGGGTTTGATTCCCAGTCAGGGCACAGACGTAGGTTTTGGGTTCAATCCTTAGATGGGAAACAACCGATCTCTCTCTCTCTCTCTCTCTCTCTCTCTCTCTCTCTCTCTCTCTTTCCTTTTCTCTCTC